TTGCTGGCTGCATGTCTTCCATTCGACGACCCGGACATCGGAGCTCTGTTACAGAAAACCAAGAGGGGAACATACGAGATTCCAGAGTTCTTGAGTCCGGAGGCCAAGGATCTCATTCGGCGTATGCTCATCGCCAATCCTGACACAAGAATCTCCATCAAGGACATGTGGCAGCATCCTCTGATCCGTAAATATGACTACCTCGACAACCTCAGCACCAACGGACAATCAACGGACCTCCGGAAGAGCTTCCACTACACCCCGTTGAAGCCCCACGAGGTTGACCCCCACCTGGTCAGACAACTTCGGTCCATGTGGCACATGCTCACAGAACACCAGATCAAGTTGAAGCTTATGGATTCCGCGTATGCCATCCCATCACTCATCTCGTCTGAACATTGAACTGACTTCCCTTAGGAAAAACGACCAAAAGCTTTTCTATTGGCTCCTGTATGATTATCGGAAGAAGCAACTGGAGAACTTTCTTCCAGAACTCACCCAATCTCCGAGCGATTACCATCATCTTCATGAGCCTGTCTGGAAGAAGAGGGTGTCGACGGTCGAGTTCAATCAGCCTCGTGCAGACGGCACTGGCAGAAGTGTTTCTCGTTTCACCGTCATCTCTCATGTCGCAGAGACAGATGACGGAACGGTTCAAAGCTATGATCCCTACAACTCTAGCAAACCGATGCGTGGCCACTCTCAGGCCAGTCATGCTAAGATTGTAGTACACCGCACTCGCCGTGGATCCATGAAACGAGAGAACACCCACACAAGCCAGCTGTCGCGCATTAAAACTGGCTCAACGGTTCGTCATTCTCGCGTCAACTCTCAGCGTACGGTTGCCTCCCGCTTCCAATCTCCTCGCAACTCCATGAATTCCCTGCACAGCAGCAGACAGGGCACGCCTTACGCACGGCCAGCTTCTCGCCACAAGCGCGGTATCGACTTTTCTCACATAAGAAGAAAGTCCAACGAGCACGGCGAAAAGCGGCGTCGGGGAACTCCTCTCACGATTCCCACCGAAGGCGAGGTGAGGGCCAAGTCTCCAACTAGTCCTACGAGTCCCGTCAGTCCCGCCAGTCCCGTAAGCCCCCCGAAGCAGGTTTCGGTCATGGACAGGCCCAGACCGAAGCTGAAAATTGTTAAACCTCGGGATCCTGTTCACGTGGTCAACGAAGAAGTGCGAAACTTCAGTCACAGCATTGCCAAAGACTGCGACGAAATCTTCGGGAACTCAATGATTGCCGACGAACCTAGCGAGTTGGGTACGGACGATGGTTCAGATGGAAAGCGAGACTCCAGACTTTCGTTCACCATTCCGACTCCAACATCCGCGCAAGCGAATACTCCCTTCCATCCGTGGGATACGCGCCCTCTGCCCCCTCTGCCTCCTCCCAAGAAGCAAGCTCCGCCTATACCTGTGACGGCGAAGACCGAAAAGGTTAATGATAAGACGAGAGATGGACATCAGACTGGCCGAGTCGGAAAGTTTGTCGATCAAGTCAACCGCCTGGGCTTTCCCTCTTTGATGGCCAAGCAGGACCGGCGTACTGTTTCTGCACCTCCACCCAGTCAAAACGGCATGACATCTGCCCGTCTTCCAGCAATCAATGAGAATGGACGAGAGTCGGAGTCTTCATACTATCCAGGGGACAATGACAGAAACCGCATTGTCTCTGCCCCGCCTAAGACCCCAAGTGGCCGGGCCAACGCAGATGGGTTGGAGTATCTTGTCGGAAGAGGCGACACGATACGGGTGGTCAACTCTCCTAGTGCGACGAGCCCCGTTCCCAAGCCGCTCAACGTGCGGAAGAAGACGGCCGACCGCCCAGCTCAAGGTGACCCAGTTGACGAGCGATATGTATACATGCACGGAGCTTCCGGCACAGACGAGCCGCCAACGCCATCGACGGGAACTTACAGCAGCGGGCCCGGCAAGCAGAAGAAGTCATTGTGGTTCAAGCGATCCTCGAAGGACAGCACCTCCCAAGAGGGCAGTATCCATACTGTTGCGACCCAAGAGACACAGGCGTATAGCATGACAAGCCAGTCCACCGACCCTGCTCGATCAGAGATCCAGCCTCATGTTGTACCCCCACCGGTGCCGGCAAAGAAGAAAGGTTTCGGTCTTCTGTTTTGGAAGAGCAACAAGGGTAAATCAGAGAACACGATGGCTATTGCAGGTAATGTTTTTGCTCCAGTTGACTTTGTTTTACTGACACAGCTGTTTTTGTAGGCCCGGACTACGACGATTCTCACTCTCCTGAGCCCACCCGAGGTATTGGACACAAGCCGAGCCGAAATTCCGCTAGAAGCTGGAATGGCTCTGAGAGCGGGGTGCGCAACATTGAGGTGCAGCAGAATTGGCTGGCTCGGCTTTTTGGTGTGAAGCCCGCCACGAGCTACGTGTGCCTGGCCATATCGCGCAAGCGAGCTCGCCAAGAAATTGCGATTCTCCTTAAAGACTGGCGACGTTATGGTATGAGAGATATCCAAGTCGACAAGGAGAGAAACATTGTGTTCGCCCGCGTAGGGGCTAAGAATTGTAAGTCCAACAGTCGACCCGAGACGCTATCATGGCTGACAAGGAGTAGACTTAAGCATCAAGGAGGTTGCATTTGCCGCGGAGATTATGACAGTGATTGAGCATGGAAAGAAAGGACACCTATGCATTGTACGATTTACGCAAGAGCTTGGAGCGGCCAGCAGTTTCCACCGAGTGGTGGACACGGTCCGAACGGTTTTCGGATCGCGATCGCTGCTTGTTGCCGACAAACGCAAGGAGAAGATGATGATCAAGACGCTCAATTCCTGAGAGTGGACGACATTGCATTTTGGCGTCAGAGAAACGGAGGCGACATTCTTTCATGGCCGGTTTGGGCGGGTTGCTTGATTATCGGGCAGCGATGATGCCCGGAGTTTCTACTTTTCTTTCATTTTCACGTTGGGACATAGGTCCAGATCCAGGAATGGCCAGGACTTCATATGGGCGGCAAGGGCTTGATTCACCAGAGCATGAGGATTGCGGCTCGACAGAGATTTCAGGTTGGTTTGGCAGGAGGAAGGTAATGGTGTTGGATGACTTGCCCAGTGGTATACAGCTGTGGCTTGTATACACAGAAGTTTGGAGGATTGGGTGATTGGAGACCGCCTTGCCAAGGGCGGTAATGGTTACTCAGCTTCCTTGTACGGTTGGCAGACCACAGTCCATAGATTCGAGCTGCACATCAAAAGTTGATTGTTACGATAGAAGCCTTGGACTCAAAGTACAGTGATATGTTCAGGAGTCGAGCCAGTAGGATGAAGCTACAACGCACACTTACGATCGATACCGGAAAGGCCCGGAAACAGTCGGCTTTGGTGGAGAAGCTGATTGGGCCTAGGAGAAGCTGGGGTATCGAGAGCAAACCTCGGCATCTCGGTGAATCGGATCGACATAGCTCTGTGGCAGAGCTCGGATGTTCTTGACTCTGCGTCACGAGCATACAGATGGTGGGGAAGTTGGAATGGACTCGTGGTTCAGTGGTGTTGTGGAATATGGTAATTATCATAGCATCGCGGTTGATGCTGAATTGACGGCCAAGGTAGGAATTCCACAGCTGCACCCCAGCAGAAGAGCTTCAATTGCGGGCCGTGGCCGTGGCTCCAATTTGGGCGCCGGCGGCGACATGTGCCTGTCCTTATCGCGGCGGATCCGACTTCGGCCCTGACCTGGAGCAAAAAAGTCTCCAGGACCCTGGAATTTATATGAAGACGCAAGCCTCAACAGGAAAATATTTTTCAGAGTTCCTCGATAGGATCGAGTAACAGAATTGAAGCAGCCAAAGATGCTCGAGTCAGGACATCAGTGCACACTCACGATGCATGCTCCCGAATCAAAGACAGAATTGTTAATGAAGGGTTTCTTTCACAGAAGGTCTTATCGGTGTTTGACCCCACCCCTCCGTCTGCCCGTCCAGTGGAGGTGTCAGAAGAAGGATGAGGTCACTGTTGCTCGGCCAGTGGTCAATCCCTGCCCAGTTCTGGATGTGGTTTTGCCATTTCGCTGCAGCGGAATGCACCGACGCTTTGGAGAAGAAGGCAGAGCACCTCCGCAGGAGGAAGGATGGGATAAGGTACATTCCAGCGGGCGAGGCGGGCAAGCACATGCAAAGTCACAGACTGGCGTCTTGTCTGCAGTTCGGCTCTGCGGTTTCACACCTTTCCCTTTTCCCCACACTTTCACAGGCGTCACTCAAGGCGCGTCTTTGATGAACCCTCCGTGCTTCATGGATGGCTGTCCAACACCACAAGGCGCATGGACGTCTCCTCCTCTTCTCCCCGCGGTCCGGCTCTGAAGCTCTCCATCCACCCGAACCAGCCCGATCACTGCCGACCAAGGTTGGATGCTGGCTGCTCGTCCCTAGGCACTCTACCGTCGAGCAGGGCGGACGCTATTGGACGGGTACCTTGAATGGAAGGTCATGATACATCCCCCGCCGGCGTCCATGGGGTCCTTTTACGTGTACCTCAAGTGGAGCCGGTGAGGTTCCTGGGGTCTTTGCGTCTTGCCTCTTCTGCTCCTCGCATGCATCATTCCCCAGGCCGGGGGGCATGTCATGGATGGGAGATGGGCGCCGGCCAACCCCTCGCTCGAGGCGACTGTGCCGAGCTTGCGACAGCGGCACTCGTTCCTCGAACCAGACCCGTCCAAAAGCTCTCGACTACCACAATTACATACCTTTTTCTCGTCATCTGTAGCCGGTAAACTTCCGTCCTGTCGCCTACTTCTTCCAGAACGTCAACCCTTTTCTTCCTTTCCCAAAACTTTTGTGATCAATTGCTCTTCAACTTCGACCTCTAAAGATACCCCTCCATACAAACACTTACCACAACTGTCGTCCTGTCTCACAACTTAGCTGCGCATTCTTCTAACACGTGAAACCCGTACCTACCAGTCAGCCATCCGACCACAACCGACGACGACACAGTAAACACCATCACCAAACATCGCAAACATGGCGACTACCGAAACGATTCTGCAGGGCGTCAATGTGTTGGGTTCCATTCAAGAATCCCAGCGCAAGATCTTGACCCCCGACGCCCTCGCTTTCCTCGCCCTGCTGCACCGCTCCTTCAATGCCACTCGCAAGCAGCTGCTTGAGCGCCGCAAGCTCCGTCAGGCCGAGCTTGACCGCGGCGCCCTGCCCGACTTCCTCCCCGAGACCAAGCACATCAGAGAGAACTCCACATGGAAGGGCGCCCCTCCGGCTCCCGGTCTGGTCGACCGTAGAGTCGAGATCACCGGCCCGACCGACCGCAAGATGGTCGTCAACGCCCTGAACTCAGATGTCTGGACTTACATGGCCGATTTTGAGGGTGAGTCTCCAAACGTTGTGATCCGGTGTGACTGTCCCCTTCAAGAACTGACGGATTTCCTTGCGTAGACTCCAGCGCGCCCACATGGGAGAACATGGTCAACGGCCAGGTCAACCTCTACGACGCCAACCGCCGCCAGGTCGACTTCAAGCAGGGCTCCAAGGAATACAAGCTGCGCACCGACCGCACCCTTCCCACGCTCATCGTCCGCCCCCGCGGCTGGCACCTCGAAGAGAAGCACGTCACTGTCGACGGCGAGCCCATCTCCGGCTCCCTCTTCGACTTTGGCCTCTACTTCTACCACAATGCCCACCAGACCCAAAAGATTGGCATCGGCCCATACTTCTACCTCCCCAAGATGGAGTCTCACCTCGAGGCCCGTCTGTGGAACGACGCCTTCAACCTCGCCCAGGACTACGTCGGCGTCCCCCGCGGCACCATTCGCGGTACCGTCCTCATCGAGACCATTCTCGCTGCCTTTGAGATGGACGAGATTATCTACGAGCTGAGAGATCACTCCTCCGGCCTCAACTGCGGTCGCTGGGATTACATCTTCAGCACCATCAAGAAGTTCAGAAACAACTCCAACTTTGTTCTGCCCGACCGTAGCGCCGTCACTATGACCGTTCCATTCATGGACGCATACGTCAGTGGATTGTCCCTTTACGATTGATACGCAGGAAACTTACTTTGTTAAACAGGTTAAGCTCCTCATCCAGACGTGCCACAAGAGAGGCGTCCACGCCATGGGTGGCATGGCGGCTCAGATCCCCATCAAGGATGACAAGGCCGCCAACGACAAGGCCATGGAGGGTGTGCGCGCCGACAAGCTGCGCGAAGCGCGTGCCGGCCACGATGGGTTCGTTCTTTCTACTGCCTCACATCGCCGTCGAGTCAGCCACTAACACGGAGTTGCAGAACTTGGGTTGCTCACCCTGCCCTGGCCGCCATTGCTTCTGAGATCTTCAACAAGCACATGCCCACGCCGAACCAGCTCTTCATCCGCCGTGAGGATGTTAAGATTGGCCAGAACGACCTGCTCAACATGAACGTCCCCGGCAGCATCACTGAGGAGGGCATCAAGAAGAACCTCAACATCGGCCTCGGTTACATGGAGGCTTGGATCCGTGGCGTCGGCTGCGTTCCCATCAACTACCTCATGTAAGTGAATACCCGCTCAATTACAGATCATGAGAGGAACCGAGGAACTCACAAGACGCAGGGAGGACGCCGCCACCGCCGAGGTTTCCCGCTCCCAGCTTTGGCAGTGGGTGAAGCACGGCGTCTCGACCGACAAGGGCAAGAAGGTCGATAAGGCCTACGCCCTCAAGCTCCTCAAGGAGTCCGCCGACGAGCTCGCCAGCAAGGCGCCCAAGGGCAACAAGTACCACCTCGCCGCGCAGTATTTTGCCGGACAGGTCACAGGCGAGGATTACGCCGACTTCCTCACCACGTACGTTTTACCCCCCCTTTGCTACATCCACCGTTTCTCGATCATCGCCCCAAACTTCTGAGATTTCTTTCCTGTCGGCGATGACTATTCATTGTGGCTTCCGGTGATTGCATCTACGTTTGCATGTACTAACGACATGACAGGTTGCTCTACGACGAGATCACGGCTGTGGGCAGCGCGCGCCCCGCTTCCAAGTTGTAATTGCCTCAACACCCATCGCTTGATCGATGTCTGATGTGGAACGGGGGAGGCGAGAATGTACTCGTGATGGATTTTGAAATGATCTGAAAGCTGAGAGCCACCCGACTCCGGAAAGGCAATTGGATAGTCGGGGCAAAGGATGTCTCTCGGTTGGACGGAAAGGTCTCGGGCTGAAAGCTTCGTTGGAGAATACTGGGAAAAGCTATTGAAATGGGGATTTGGGGAGAAGCTACTTTTGGTTGTATTGGTTCACGATTGTAAGAATGAATGAGATTGCCAGAAACCGTTTCTTTTCTTTGGCAACATGCCGTTCCTATCTGGTGGATGTAAGCCACCGCCCTCCATCGCCTACGCGGGCCAAGGTTTCCCGTCTCGAAGTTGCTCATCACCGGGATGGTCGGGGCACACCATAACTTTGGGTCGCGATTGGATATGGCACTTCACCGGTTGTCTTGCTTCTCAAAGAGTTTCCGGGCTCGGAGGCCTGTGAGGCGTAGATGTGGCCATCGTGGCGGAGGACGATGAGCCCGAGGGACTGGTGGGCGTTGCGGCACGGTGGTTCAAAAAAAAAAAAAAAACCCGGCGGAACAAGAAACGAACACACGATGAAAGACACACCCCCGAGCCGATATGTTTGCTTGGCCGGTGATGAGATCCCTATCTTTACACATGCGCGTTTGTGTGCATCCTCAGACATACCGTCGGCGTCGACGCTCGTCTCGGCGTTGGCTCCGGCCGGAGGGGTAGAGTGGTGACGTCTTGGACTCTTTCGGGGACCGCTTGAGATGGGAACCCCCTCTCAAAAGATGAGGTTCAGAAAACCCGTGGTTCAATGGCTATGCAGGAGGACGGTCTCACGATGCGTCGCCCACCCTCAGAGCAGCGCGGGCCGCCGCCCGCATATGCGACATACATAAGGGGTTGTGGTGGTGGTGGTGGTGGTTGTCGTCCACGCACGCGTGATGGGTTTGGTAAGAGATGGAGTGAAAGCGACAGGTATTGGTCGGGAATCACATCGTCATGGTTTCTGCTTAATTGACCTGTCACAATTCTTGTGTTCCAGAGACTCTGCAAAGTTCAGGTTCCAAGGCCAGAGAGAGTAAGACCCACGCGCGCGGAGGAGGGTGTCGAGGGTTCATGTCGTCGGGAAAAGGTTGGGGGCCCCGTGACCAGGACGGAGCGGGCCGTCGGCAGTGAACGATGGAAGGTGGGATTGGATCGGTTTGGCCTCCGGTGGACAAATAGATGCGCGACACCGAAGCCATCACCGAAGGCTGAGTTGGAGAGGGGGAGGGGAGTGGACTCGCCACCGCCGGAACGACCGGAGCGTTTTCTTTTTCCCAACGCCCACGATTGCCTCATGTACGTTACTACCGCCATTGGTTCAAAGACGGAGATGATCTTTGCAGTCCCCATCGGACTGGACAGGTGATAGGGGGGGGGGGGATGGGTTGCCATATCTTGGATCGTTGTTTTGACCACTTTAGGATTGGCAAATGCCCCCTCCGTACGAGGTCAAATTGTTGATCGGGTGACTTTGTTTCTTTCTTTCTCGGTGTTCAGTTTCTCCTACATTCACTGGCTTTGCCGCAAGTCATAGCAATGTGATGCGTCATATTGAGCGAAAGTGAGGGCAAAGGGAGTGTTTCCAGATGTCTGTGTCAAGATTCAAAATATGTTAAACATGGTTCAACTATAACTCGTCACTCTACGACGGCGACAAACGTTTCTTTTCGATTGCCTCGCTTATTAGTCTAATCAGATATGATAGAAGTGATAAGCCCCTCCCAAAGAGGGCGCGAGACGGTTTGACGAGCCGCGACGGCGTTGGACGGCCGGGCGGAGGTTGTGTCATGATCCATCGATTGGGAATAAACCCCTCCGACGATGGTTGCACAAAGCAAGCGTTTAGCCTTTGCGGCGTTTAGATCTCGGTGTCTTTGATCTTGACGGCACAACTTGGCAAGGATAAGAAGGAAAAGAACGCCAAGAAAAAAGAAATAAGGAAAGAAGCTACTGCGTTTTGCTTTGGTCTCATCCGATTGCAGTTGTTTCTGGGCCGCGACTCTCATCTTCCGTATCGCTGGAAAAGCCTCATAGCCTAAAAGAAAGGTCAAGAGAGACCGGCACGATGTTTGTTTCCTCTTGCCTCCTCGGCGCTCTTCGGTGATTGATAGGCAGATATGCCAGAGCCACCCCTAAACGAGCCTCAACAGAACAAATGCTTCGAGGCGGCCATGTTTCTCCTCAAAAAAGGCAAGTTGCCATATCTGTCTGGATGGTCCAGGTGTCACCTCAGCGTCGCCCTCGCCGAGACAATTATGAAGGCCCAATCTCGATTTCCCGCCAGCTGGCGAATGAGCCATGTAGTCTTGGACCTGTAGGCTATGATGGCCCGGGTAGAAGAGCGGACAAATGCGGAAAATCAGGTGGGGAATATCTCGTCCTCTAGGTGTGTTTCTCTCACCTGACTGTTGCGCCTATTGAAGGACAAAACAAAGCAAGAGAGAGCGATCGAGTTCTCTCAACAACGGAGGCAATGTAAACGGCATCATATTCCAATAGGCGTGAAGAATTCGGAGGGTTCCAAAGCCCGGAACAAGTGTGTCGTGTGGAGGGCTGAAATTGACTGATGAGCACTGAACCGCGGCTGCAAGTAAGATCGCGTCGACCCCATCTGGAAAACAAGTTTCACCGGATTTGATACGGGTATGACCGGGACGGTCGACAGGAGGGAGAGGAGCCTCCTGGATACCAGGAAGATATGGTGAGCCCGAGTATGAAAGACGTGAGACTAGCGGTCTTTCTCTGCCCCAAGAATGTCATGTTAGTGTGATTGTGTTTCCCAAAAGCAATGGGGGCGTCTCAGACCTCATTTTAGCGCATTGTGCTGCACTCCCCCCCAAAAATGACCGCAGGTGTGTGTATCAACATTGAGGCAGTGAAGGCTGCGGTGCAGCTATGATGCAGGGGTATCTATCATAGCTACTTTTGCTAGCGAACTGTCGTGTTCAGAAGAATGGGATCCAGAGCTTAGTGAAAAGAAGGGATGCATCTAATGCAATTCTTCGATACTTGTTGGAGTATTTTGAGGAAGTCTCTAGCCAACCCAGTTGGACTCGTTGGAATAGCAGCAATCTTTGCAATAAGCTTTCAAGACCTCAATCCGTTCGCTCTAACGTGACGAACCATCGACCTTGTCATTGGTCGTTACTGGTATTGAACAGTCAAGACCACCTGATAGGTGATCATTCGGCGAGATCGTGGTCCGTTTTTGTTGTCGGTCATATTGCGTGAAAGGACGCGGTGGACTCTTTACTCCTATGCGCCCCCGATAAACTGTCCTGACTATCGTTGCGATTGCTGTTGAGCGGAGCATGACGAGCCGTGAGGCTGCGAGAACGATTCGTGTACTCAACATGCTCCGTGCTTGAAGCGAGGTACAAATGCGCCCAGATGTTCATGTACAGGACGATTATGCCCGGCCTTGGTGAATCGAGGTTCTGTCTCGCATACGCAGGGCTGACACAAAACAAGAGCATCGTCTCAGGAGACCACGGCTCGCAGGATCCATTGACAGCGCCACTTCTTTCATTCAGCGCAATTGGAAGTGCCAATGGCCACCTCACATTGCTGCGAATGCGTCGGTCCGGAGCCAGAGAGAAGCATCGTTGGTTTCTTTTGAGCGTGCCAAAAGCATCTCGTGTATTTGCTCATGACATACTTTGGCTGTGACATCCAAAATGGGAGGTGAAGGAAGATGTCATGGAGAATACATCTTCTTGGCTATTGATGCCTCTTTCCACTTACCAGCAGACTGATTCAGGGCGAACGCACCTGAGGGTGTCGAACGCAAAACGGCCATGTCTTTTGTAGAACGTCGTAGTGACCATGAACAATGGATGGCGGCCCAAGACGAGAAATCGCCGATTTGGTTCTCGCTCGGGATAGCTAGCTGATGCCTGCAAGCGAATGCATACTTACAATCTCGCCGAACGTCGTGTTTTCAAGGCCATTCAGCCAGACAATCGGGAAATCCTGCAACCTGAACCCAAGGTCTAAGACATTCTGGTTAATGCAACAGAACCACGAGAAATTTACATTGGAGTGACCCGAACGAGCACACTTACCGAGCCTACGGAGCCTCGAAACCTTCGATTTTCGTATTGGTGGCTCGCACAAAAGACGTCGGTGTAGCGTCAGCGAGAGTGTCATGTGCTGTTCATTCGTACAGCTCGCCAGATACGCAGCCAAACAAAACCGGGGTTTTCTCGTAGAGAAAACGTAGCACAGTAGTTATGACCGACAAAGCGAGCAATTGCTAACAGTCGGATGCCTAGGTATGGGAGGTAAGCCACTTGCTCTCTGACTTGGCAGCCCCTCTGAGCACATGTAGCTGGGGTCTAGTGTGCGTTACAGAGCAGTATTTCTGACCAAAGTCGTCGTCAGTGTCGAAATCGCACTCTCTGTGCCCTAGGGCCGCCAGTGTACTAGTAGGCCTTTCCAGTCATTGCACAATATCGCCGGAACGATGATCTGGGATCGATCGACACAGAGGTAACAAAGATGATGTCGACCAAGGCACCGAGGACGTTGGAAGTCCGTTCCAAGTATCGTGTTGTCCGAGCTCCAGGCTCCTAGACAGGGCCAGAGGCTTGGTTTGTTAAGAAAACCTGATGTCGTATGTGGACAAGTGCGGGCGCGGGGGAGACGGTACAGGAAAGGATGGTGTGATATGAGCGTAACAAGGATGATCTCTTTGAAAGTGCCACTTCGCTGTCCAGCTAAACCTTGAAGATCAACTAGATGGAAGGCGGTTGGGACAAGCTTCGTGGGAGAGATGGCAAGAGAGGTCGGTTCAAAGGGAAATTAGAATAAAGGGAGGGCTGTCGAATGGTGGTGACGAGAAAGAGGCATATTGGGAGGTGGTTCGCGTGGGAGATAATGCTAGCAGGAGAGATGGTGAAGACTGAACTCCAGATCGGCAAGGCTGAAAGGAG